GGTTCATCAGATCTCTTTCAGCAGCGCCGAAGAGCATAGGTGATGTCCACGGGGGTGGTTGAGTTAGAAAATCTCTAAATGAAGTCAACGTGAGCATTATAAGACCGGTGCACGTGAGGAGAAGAGAGCGCCCTTGATTATTTCTGGCTAATCTTGGTGTACAGCGCTTGCGGAAGATTCGAGAATCTCTTTGAGATTCCAGGGCAAAGATGTTTTTACAATCGAGTATATCGGAGAAAGCAGCGCGACAACAGCTGAATGGTGATGATAACTGCAGAAGCGTGGATGTAGTTGATAGATGGCATTATTTTGAAGTTGACAATAATTTGAAGTCCAAGAGCTTCAAGAACAATCAATTTACGATCCAGAATCAAATGAAGCATTTTGAGATAGCAGCATTTTGCCATTTGAGTCTGTACTCAGATCGCAGTAGTAGATAAGCTGCTCCAAGGACAATGCCCAAATCAATCAATACGCAGCTTGGTTAAGGACATATATGGACAACTTGGACTCAGCCCTTTAAACCGCCTCGATTTGAGACTCTATTTCTCGCCTGCTACAATATAATCGGTTCATCCACTACGGAGTCCCTCCTTCCTTCAAGGTTTAGTCCTAGAGCTCTCACCTTCTTGGTTGGGATTTAATTAATTTGCCCAGTCAAGCACCGTACTCTAATCGTCTGTGCTCTGGTCTTTCTCGGCATAGAACATAGGGGACAGTTCAAGTAGTCACGTACCCTCTCCTTCAAGAAGCCAGAAAATGTACGGTGCAGACCATACACCACAAGTAACGACGGCCTCCAAGTAAATCTGGTTAGTAGTGGTTTATAGTGATAGCTGATTTCTAGTAAATGATAGTTGTAATTACTGTCAACTGATCGAATACAACTATAACAGGTTAATCATTTCATTAGCAAAAAACATTTGCATTTTTTTGGAGGCCGTCGTCACTTGTGGTGTATAGTCTGCACTCGCCACTCTCTGGCTATTTGAAGCGGAGGGTAATCGGCTAAGTGTGTCGTATTTCAGAACTTTCCTTGACGATTTGCGTGATCCTACCTGGTACGTTCGAATGAGACTCAAGCCGATATTTTCTTAAGTTTACGGTCTGCACGGTCGCGATTACGGTCGTGTTCCGAAAAAGCACTATCAGTGCATTATATGAATAATGTTTAGCGTCAAAGCACATGTATTAATGTGAATATGCTAATGAGACAAGCTGAAATGCAACGATGCAATGGCGCTTTGCGCCGGTAATGTCATATTCATTAAAAAAAGCTATTATTCATCAAAAAGGCAAGGGTTGGGTAGTGGCAAGTGGTGCAGCTTACTATCCGCACATTTCATAGGCCTAATCCTGCCGACCCAACCAGGACAACACCCCTCAATTTATCGGTTTCGTGGTATTGGAGTTGCTTAGGAAAATAAAAACACTGAGTCACAGCGGATAGCGGATAGCCTCTGAAAGCCACTGTATAAGCAAAGCCGCATTCAAATGGCACTAGGACATACAGGGAATGGCTTGCGTGGCGTATCCAGAAAAGGACCGAAGTGCGAAGCAGCCTCAATTGGGTGCGAAACTCCGGATATATGCAGCGAACTCGTCAGAGGGACAGTCCGGGATTAGGTGGGCTTAGCTGCTCATTCCTTTCTTGTCGTGATAGACAAACAGACAAGCGTTGATGTTGCGTCCCATTCACAGTTTGGAAGACTGCCACAAAGGCGCTACAAGTTTGCGCGACTCACTTTGCCCACCTTCGTCCGCAAGCCGTGCCCTTCACTGTCGGCACTTCGAGAAGAGCGCTGACGCACTTGTGGCAATGACAACTGGTGTTGCTCCTGTTGGCACAGGGCAACTGATGCTGCCGGCTGCCTGATGTACCATGTTTTATACTTTTAAAAACATGCCACAGGATCACATTAGTGTGGCTCTTGTACACGAATGCGAATGCATTGGTGGGAAGTGGGCCAGCAGTAAAGGAAAAAGGAAAAGAATCCGTCAAAAACGTTCAGGTCAAGGGTTCACTCTTCTTCTTCTTCTCTCCCAGCGTTCAGTCTGCCGCGCAGTGGCGAGGTCCGCGTATTTGTCATGCCGTCCGCCGCTTTGCGTCTGTCCAGGGCATCTTCCATTTTGGCCCGCGACCTCACGCTAGGTCCTTCTTTAATTTGCTCTTTCCCCCACCTTTTCCTTCGAGGATCCTCGCGTCGCTTGCTTTGTACTGTCGAATCCTCGCTGTTCTTATCGGATGGTCCTGGGCCTTCTCAGCACATGCCAATGACATCGCACAACGGCTGTCTCGTACCCTTGTCAAGCTGACGGGGGCAGTCTGCAGTGACCGTCTGAACGTCTCGTTTCTACCTCAGCTGTTTCGCGGCGTCCAGTCGCAGGCGCCAGTCTGCAGCATGATGCATTTCGGCAGAGTGGAGCTGCCGCTTCCCATGATTCTTGTTCAAGGCACAGCACTCGCTGCCGTAGAAGCATCGCAGGCCTTTACCAACTGTCCGCGTACACCTTCCCTTATTGAAGCGCTCTGGAGCACGCTTCGATCGCGAGTGACTCAGTGAACTGCCCTCCATTTCAATCCATGCAGCGTGACGAGCCGCGCCTCACCGCCTGATCCACACCTCCGTCGGCCTGCCAGTCCTCTCATAGGTATCTGAAGTCCTTCACTCTTCGACTGGTCTCACCATGGCCGTACCAGATCGGCTCCTGCACCCTCATTCGGAGCTCCAGGAATGCTGGTCCTTCTGACATTCAGTCCGGACCCTACCTTCTGCCCCAGGACGTCTTCTGCCATTTCTGCACCTTGGCCTGTGGTTCTTCTCTGCTTCCGCTATCAGGGCGATGCCTTCAGCGTAGAGGATTGTCGTAAAGGAGGAAGAGGAATGGGCTCAGAGCTGACCCTTGGTGCACCCCAACCGTGATGTCCACTTTCTTCGTTAGGCCGTGTGGGGTGTGTATAGCAGCCTTCGCCCCATCGTACATGTCCTTCACCACAGAGACCAGCTGTTCTGGCACATTCCGCTCCCTGAGCGCTCTCCATAGTACTTTTCGAGGTAGTCGGTCGAACGCCTTCTCCAGGTCAAGGAAGGCTAGGTAGCAGGGTCGGCGCTTTTCTCGATACTTCTCCATCACTTGCCTCGTGATGAAGATGGCATCCGTAGTAGACCTTTGAGGCATGAACCCGAACTGTTCCTGGGCGATTCAGTTTCGACCAGGGTGAAAATCGGTCGAGGATTCGTCTCCGACGCGTCGAGGAATTTTGCCTGTACAGTCACGCCCTGCTGCGCGGACGTTTACTCTTGCCACGCGCGGGCCGTCTATGCTCTCCGTGCTCTCCATTCACTCTTGACACTATTCACACGCAGTACAGAGCCTCGACCGCTATTCACCCTGATTTCTACTGCTGATTGACGCACTCTGACGACGGCGCAGAATAAAATTGCGCTAATTTTTTCCTCTGTTGAAATAAATGATTGGCCTGGGGATTCTAGGAATTCGAGAACGACGTTCCTGAATAAGAATTAAAATGAACAGTTCTGTAGAACACGACACAAAAGAGATAATAAGGCCACGTTTGTATAATTTCGCCTGTCCTGTTCAGTATATAAAACGTTCCGTTATTTGTATGTTGATCATTTGCAACTTTTTTTTTCGCCCGCTTGACAACAAATCTTCAGAGATACGTAGAGATTCCCCGCAATGAGATTTCTACGTCAAAAGAACGGAAGTTTCGATATCACATTGTCAAGACTGAGTTACAGTGTATCTCTCTACCTTACCCGGCATTAGTCCTGCGCATTCGCAAGCTCACTGTCCTTCTCGGCCGTCACCACGTTGATTATTCAAGGCACCTCCTGCCGTGACCTAACTTCAGTGAGGTCCCTCTTGATGACGTCTCTCTAACTCTTTTCTTGGGCCTCCTCGCGACCACTTGCCTTGTGCGTCGACGTCCATCGCTTTCGTTATTAGGCGATGCTTTTAAGAAATCACCTTCTCAACACTTGTCCATACCATCGCAGCGCTGTTCCCACAACTTTATTTGGACAAGCAGTTTGCATGCCCACACCCACCTTCGCTTCTGACCCTACACAGTCGGAACCAGCAATATGCCCATCTCAGCATTCTTTTTCAGAGAAGTGAAGAAGTGATCCTTGTTCAGAGGCCAGCACTCGCTGCCATAGAGCATCGCAAGCCTTACCACTGCCGGCGCACCTTTCCTTTTTGTGTTCTAAAGCACCTTCGATCGCAGAGGAATCCAATGAACTCCCTGAATTGCACTCATGCCGCGCTGATCCGTGCATTTTTTGCCCGATCCATGCTACCATCGGCGGCTAGATCGCTCTCACGGTGGTTCCAAAGATATCCTCCTTCTCAGTGTTTTCTCCGTGGTCGTCCATGATCAAATCAGACGCTCCGTGTCCTCGTTAGAGCCAGGAAACGTGACCTTTGACACCAATTATGAGATCTGTACCTGCGGAAAAACAAGTACACATAAAAATCACTAGAGGGAGCTCAAAGGGATAGAGCAGTGGGTTTCGGTTGCTTTACATGTGTTCCTTTAGAAAATCTTTGTTAAATCACCCTGCACTCTGCTAGCACTGATTTTCATGCAAAACTCCTTAATCTTGAATTCAATTTGAGAAATGACGTGATGTCGACAGGCTCATTTCGCCCAATCCGGTATGGATCTGCCATCACATTCTCCGCCAGCGACCAACAATGAATTAGCGACCTATCCGAATTCCCAAAACGATGACGTAAAAGCCACTCCTTACTGTTAGCTTAGCAAACATGATGGGCAACTTGATCGAAAGCCCTTTGCTACGAAAAGTTGACAATATGCTGATGTCAGACTTTGCGAATCGAGCGATCCGCTAGCGTCCGCGGTTGCGTCGCATGCAGCGAATGTCTCTATTCGCTGTACGCGACGCGACCGTGGACGCTAACAAATCGCTCGGTTCGCAAAGTCTTACATCGCCCTCAGACAGGTGACTATTATGACAACTCAACTCCTGCTTCTCGCCTTGACAGCATGCCTGGGTCTCGATGCTTACATGCAGTGAGTAACTTTTCGTGACACCCGAAGACGGCGACTACAGTGGATGGGAGACGCAGCCGATTTGGAGACGTATTTTTTGAAAGAGTATCGGGATACGGGGATACGAACACACCACACTAATTACGTCTTTGTCTTAGCTCCACCTCCCAGCCATCCCACTCCCTCCCTTCTGGTGAACTCTTATGAATCCTATGATTTAGTGTACGACTGATCTCGCGCAAGCCCAGCTATCGACAGGGACGCCCAATCAATGTGAATGCCCTTTCTAGACGATTGTTGAAGAAGTACGTCTATGGATACCGAACGGCTCGGGATTACCAGGAACAGCTTACCAACGATGAGGATGTGAGATGCCGCCACAAGTATCTGCCTATGACTTGTAACTCAATATTTGCAGATGGCGTACTACGGTACCATCCAAATTGGAACTCCTCCACAGACTTTCAAAGTATTATTTGACACTGGGTCGTCCAACCTGTGGATACCGTGCGCCAACTGTGATCCATCAGATACTGCATGTCTTACACATCAGACGGTGAGGTAAAGACTGCAAAGTTCGGTGTTACTCGGCAATCGAATTCTGGTTCCAGTTCGATTGCACTCAATCATCCACTTGCCATTCAACGGACGAGCCTCTTTCAATCCAGTATGGAAAAGGATCAATGAGAGGTCACGTACTGAGCGATGTCGTTTGCGTAAGTTTACCTCCATAGTCACTAAAGCCAACTGCTTCGCAAAAATTCCTTCTGCCTTTTACAGTTTGGAACTGATCAGCAGTATTGTACAAACCAATATCAGAGATTTGCTTGCGCCACAAGTGAGCCGGGAACCGCTTTCCTTGTATGTAGAAAGGGTTCTGGCGGGTGTCAGAGTCGGTGATTCCTCGCGCGATTCGCGCGAAGCGCAGAAATCACATATGCCTTCTTGGAACATTTGAAAGACCTAATATAAAACAAATAGAATCATGAACAGTCGTCACTCAGTCACCATCACCAAGCAGAAATTCGACTGGAGAGCGGGAATGGAGAGCACCTCGCGGTATTGATGAGGGCACTTGTGATTTCTGTAATCCGTCGCGCGAAGGATCGCGGATTATGGCACCAGCCTTAGAGTTAGAAATCGATGCCAAGAGCAGCTTTTCAGAGAACAAAATTTGACGGCATTCTCGGTATGGCGTGGGATTCAATCTCATCGGACAACATTCGCCAACCTATGGATCAGATATTCGCCAATAAGGTTGTTTCAATTGAAGGACGGAAGCGCGTACAGTACAGAATGTCCCGCTGAAGGTCGAGATAAAGCTGACCAAGACAGAGCCACTAACAAGCCAACAAGTCAAAGAAATCCAGGGTACCGTATTCTATCCTTTCCCAGACTAGGGGAACAGAGTAGTCCTTTGGACCTATTTTTTCTAACGACATTTCCCTTTGTTTCAGCACTCGTGTGCTTTTACACACATATACACATACAAACACGCGTTTCTCGCAGCGATTTTATAGAAAAGACAAAGAAAATCAAAAGGTATTTTTTTTGTCCCCCTAGCGTAGGGATAGGAGGCGGCCCCAGGGGAGCATGAACATACCACTTCTCTGTTTGCTGTAAGCGCAGAAGTACAACTCGCTGTGCTTCTCCTATGTATTTCTAGACAAGGATTGTTTTTATAACTATACGCTATAGACGCTGTGCCCGGAAGCACTTTTCGCCTTCTATATGGCTAATGACGCAGACACCAACACCCATGGTGGAGTTATGACGCTCTGTGGAATGGATCCCAGTCACTATCAGGTATAGTGTAGCGTGGAGTCACAGCAAATTGATGACAACGCGCATTTTCGAAGGGCCCCATCGCCTGGGAGCCTTTAACCGCCGAAGACTACTGGCGAATCAATGTGAGAACTATCAGCATCCTAGAATACACGATAGCCTACGGACCAATCAGCGCCATCGTTGATACCGGTACATCGCTGATTGCTGGACCAACTGATGCTGTCCAATTGGTAATACTTCGGAGTTGCGCAAATACAATCTCCACATCCACTTATTTTTTCATTCAAAGATTCACCAAACTATTGGAGCTTATATGGGTGAGAGAGGCCAGATGAGGGTTGACTGCTCGACTATTTCTCTACTTCCGCCGATCACGTTCAATATTGGTGGCCAGGATTTCACTCTTTATGGTTCCGATTACATTCTCCAGGTGAGGGTTTGATGTCGCGTCTAGCAACCTAGGGTAGGTGTCAGACTTGGCCAATTGCGATCGCGGTTCGCTAGAAGACACTACCAGCTTCGCACCACGGCACTACTGATCAAGCTTCGTTGTGGCACGTGCGACTCCTGCGATTGTCATCAAATTGGCGGGCTGACACCCGTCCTACTAAAGGAAGCGATCAATTTGTAGTTGGACTTGAGCAAAAATGTTTGCGCCATTTTTTTGTTTGCATGGTTTGTCAAGAAATCCAAGAGAACCCTAAAAAATTCAACTCATGGCTCACTGATTGTCTCTGACGCGATGGTCGCAATAGTGCATAGTTTATAGTACACTGTATAGTTCTGATAGCATAGAGATTCTGATAACAGTTTGGCAGCACTGGATTCTGAGCTCACGCATTCGCATACAACATCTGTGGCGCAATGGTGAGAGGGGGGAGGGAAACCACGTAACATCACGAAAACGCCTCAGTTTCTTCAGTTTCTGGACTAAACCTTTGAGGAGAGAGGGACTCCGGTTGTGCGTAAGTAATCTACGTACTTTCCAGAGTTCGTCCGTGCTAACCCGTTTAGACCTAGAGGTCGTTTACATTCCCCTAGCCGCATTGCGCCACATCAGTAATTATTTTTGACTCTATTTTTTGCGTTCTAATTCCTAGGAAATACATTTCCATTTGTACATTAAAAAAAGCGAGACGTCGCGGGCTTTTGGGTGACCTAAATCTTCAAAAAAAAAAATAGGAAATTCAAAAAGGACGATTAAAATAACACCATTGATAGCATTTATTGCAGTACGGATATTCCTTCTGCCTGTCTGGTTTTATGGCAATGGGTTCACCATCTTCTAGTGTATGCATGTTTTTTTTCTTCTATTCTGCCCCTCTACCAATAGTAGAGTATGAGGAGAATTTCAGGACCTTCGTGGATTCTTGGAGATGTTTTCATTCGCAAATTTACTCGGTTTTCGACCATGGAAATAAACTGGGGGGTTCGCCATCGCAGTTTGACGCAAGCTTATAATTAGTTGATGTTTGACGTAATTCAATAAAAAATATCCATGCAAAAGTGTGATACATTCTCGATTCACATATACAGAGGGGGGCATAAAACTCACTTTCCTCTAAATTTATAACGGAATGCTTACACTTTGATGAGTTCAAATCGAATGCACTGAACTGATACTTAAAGAGAGATTCAATCAACCAAGAGCCTTCTCCCCGACGGCATTCAAAATTTCCCCTGGTAACATGGCGCAACGGTTCGAACTCATGGGTGCCGACAGGAGGCCGTCGCGCCGGTAGGCAGACGAGTCGCAGCGCTACTGGTAGCACTTCTCGTCGGATTAAAATAGAATGTAGCACTGTACGTCCAAAACACACATCATAGCGGTGCGACTCGTCCGCTGGCTCTGCATTCTTGTCACGCAACAGGTAATCCTGTCGGGTGCTCCCAACTCAAACGAGGTCCCTGACGGATCGTGTCCCATTGGCCATTATTTGAAGCGGTGTCGGGAGGGTTTTTGCGTAAACCAGGTACTGCCTCAGGAAGACTATCCATCAATGGATCGTTAGAGAAATCAAATATATCGAGCTTCAGCATAGCGAATACCGTAAGCACTTGAACTCGGCGATGGCAGATGAACCACGTCCGGAGGCAGGTAGCTGCGGAAGGTCGCTTCTACTCATGGAGATAGATCTGACTAGGGAAGGGGTGGGTCAAGTGGCCATTCGAAATGAGGTGTATACCTCCTAATGCGGAACCAAACGCTGATTTCAAACTGCCTTCCATATCTGCTGAACAATGCTAAGAACAAAATCACGAAGGGTGTTTTTTCGCAAACGGTTGAGATGGTCCAACGGTTAACGAGGCCGATTTAAATCGACGCTAGGGGTCGGATTAGCTTGCTCAGTTTTCTTTGCTTCTTTATTCATAGCACGTGAAGGAAGCTGGACTTGTCTTTGATGCACTTTTGTTTTGAATATCTGACTTGGGCATTACGGCATTCTAGCGTTCGCAAACAGGAACAAGGCGTTTCATCGAAGAGGGAGTGTGGTCATCGCATTCAGGAAGTCAAGCCACACTGCCCCCCTTGACACAAGTTCTGACCAAATCGAAATTTTGATGTCCTGCATCGGAAAAGGGAGTACACATGGTCACACACGATACACAGTCTAATACCTGATGCCTTCGACACCACCTCGAGTAAACTTTCATGTGCATGAAGGTTCTGATCTTGAATCCATGGCTATGGAGAATGGAAGACTACCATCCATTACACACTTTTTCAGTAAGGGTGGAAAACCCAATTTGATAGCAATGTGCTCCTATTATGTACTCAGAGCTCCTGAATACGAATATCCACTAGTTTGCGCGTGAAGGTCAACTGCGGTGCGTTACGAGCGCAGAGTGCTTGCAAGTTTCTGCTGCGCGCACTTGTCACATAGATCACTCGATGCACCTAAGAGACGGAGTACACTGGGGTTTCATGCCCAAGAGTAGTGTCATGATTCGAAACTGCGCTCTCTTCCGTCGATATCATGGACACGTGGTTTTAATGAAATCCTCTATTAGATCTTCATAACCGGTGTGTTCGCCTTAGGTTAGTAATATAAGACGGATACGAGACTCAATGTGGAGACTCAGACGAACTTGTACTTGAGAAATGCGCTTATATGCTCTGGAAGCAACAGTTGCAGCTAAAGATTTGTTGATCGTGAAAAAAGGCTAATAGGTAGGGAACGATTGATACGGGGGCAAAGGAGAGGGGAAATTTGCAATAGACTGATAGGCAGCAAGCGTAGAACCATCCGTGAGAGATGGCATTGAATCGCACGGGCGCAAGGAAAGATGCGTGTACCAATCTCTGTTCAGGTTGTGCGCCTGTACCAAGGTTTCCTCTTATACTTACTGCCTAACTGATTGCGATTCGCACTTCTACACTCTCCACTTATTCAAAATGGTGAGGTAGATTTCATCGTAAAATTCTGCTTTAGAGTGTGTCTCGCACACAGTCCTAGAGCCGCAGTGACAAAATAGGGACAAAAAGCAGCATAGTTAAGAAGTCAGACTCGATGGACCGGAAAAAGTTGGAGGAGGGCTTTTATGTGGGCAGTGGTAAACCGGAGGGTGCGCGGAGGGGAGAGGCACACGAATAGGGAATGCAGAGATCGCGAATGAGGCGATATAAGCAAAACAGCAAGATCAGAGATAAGGAAGGACGCCCCTTTTTTGGCCTGTTTGGTGGTTGAGCTGGTATGACTTTGACTTACAGACGATATAGCGGACCTGTCGACAAGTGGACTATAGAACGCAGTATCACGGGCATATGTGTTCGATTGTAGCTCTCAGCTTGAAAATTGCGCCTAAAATTCCGCTTGCACTAAGTCGAATGCTCGTTAGTTTAGCGCGCGCCTAACACTAGTTTTTCGGAACGCTGAGTCCAAATCTAACAAGTAAATTGGTGAGCGGAGCGCTTATCGAAGTCCTGCTCAGCAGCCAGCGCACCTTTCGTGCTGAGAAGCGCTTACACTTCGCCTTCTGGCAGCCAAGTAAGTCTTTATGCGGTGCATTGCTTCGCGATGTGTTCCTCTTTGTCGTTATCGCTGCCTTTGAGGAACCAACCCATTGAGTGTGGACACGAGATCGGCATTAGTATCCACTAGGCCACAGTTTCGCATCTGAGCTGTCCATGGCTTTGTCGTTAGTCGTGCTGAGCTCGGGAGTCTGCTCCGTATCACTACAAGTTCCGTAAACTTTGTTCAGGAAATAGTTCGGAATGTGGGGTATAGTTTTGGAGTCCCGTTTGAGATTTTAGGGTTATAAGCATCAAATTCGAATGGCCACTTCGACCTTCCATCTCTCCCTTGTGATCAATATTCTCCATCTACAATGGCACTCTTCCCGACGAGTTTGGTGATAGTGCTATGGGCGAAGAGACCTCCTTTCCTCTCCTCTCCCTACCCATACACGCTAATCCCTTGCACGTCCTACAAACGGCGCTGAACTCGTTCGCCGACGCGATGCCTATCTTGCGCGCGACGGGCCTCCTGAGGGTTACCAGACGTTCCAGGCCGTCCTAGGTTCTCCTGCTCCGATCATCACTGAGTGAAGACGGCCAAAAAACTGACGATTCTGGAGCAATGATTTTTACAGGAGTGGTGTAAAAGCTTTCCATCCTCCAAAATCCGTTGGTTGGTACCGGACATGCCTGCGAGGAAGAATACTGGCCTCTGCATGTAGTATGCATGCATGCACACTACCAGCAATCAAATCCGTGTTCAATAACACTTCAACTCTCAGTGGGAGTAGAATACGTGGAATATCCCAAGAATAACTGGATCAATGCCGAGCGATTCATTGGTTTACACTTCAGCGGATCCCAGGCGCAGTCGTAGTTCCACTTTCTAATCAAATCCACTCCATTCCTAACAGCGGTGACAGCGCGATTCATATGTGAATCACGTTTGACAAGCGCGATGCTGTTGTGGTAGACCACGATTTTTCTCTTTGCCCATTTCACATACCCCGCCTTCAAATGACCAGAAATTGTGCAATTGCAGAAAATTGACGTGGCATCAACGTGACATCGGTTGAAGAACATCTTCGAGCACACGTGATGTCATCCTTTCACGTCAGATTCTCGTCAGATTCATTCGCCTAGTTCTGATCCCGGCAATTGTACACTTCTTATTTGGATCGGTGACTGCTGTAACACCTGCAATATGTTGCTCACGTATATAAGCGTAGGAACGTCTTACGTCGCTGCTTTTGGCATAATAGACTACTTCCACCGAACGACCGATACAGATGCTGTTATGAAGTTCCCCATAACAGTCCCATCTTGCTAAGAGGCATTACCTATATTGAGACGAGTGTATTTTTCAATCCGCTATATTGCTGCAGACGTTCGGCCGGGGTCGGGGATTAATCCGGGGATACTTGAGGATTCGTCCTCGACGGCGGAGGCATGTTTCAGGTTTCTGAAGCCGAAGATGCAGTGTGTGATTCGATCGATGGGACGTGTAGGGGAGGCGACTGCTAGGCCTCGTTTGAAGTTGCCCATATAGGCAAAAAACAACGCACACACGAAATGAAACGAAAACCTCTACCAAGATTTAGATGGGCATCGATTGGAAAATTAGGGAGCGCATAAGCAAAACGTCCGAAGCAGGCGAACTTCGGGTGTCCTCCGGGAGGCCCATCGCGAGGCGAAGGAAGATACGCAGACGCGGCAAGGGACGAGATGCAGCGCATACTGTGGCGGTTGGGCGTCAGGTTAAATAGAATGTACCACACTATGTCTCATACCGCACAGCACGCGCTGCGACTCGTCCTTTGCCGCATCTGCGTCTCTTCCTTCGCCGCGCGATGGGCCTCTTGGCGGACACCCGGCGAATATTAGTTTAGAGTTTGATATGTATCGATTCTGATAAACGGGCGGATGGATAATCGCGGGAGAAGCATCGGGAGTTGAAACGTATACTGGATATCGGTTAGTTGGGGTGGGCGTGTCACCGGAAGTGACGTGCACTTGATAGAGACTATGTGGATAAGGTGCTTCCAACATACACCGCTGGCTATCAGCAAAGCATGATGGCAACACCTTATCCACTCTATCAAGTGCATTTCACTTCCGGTGACACACCCGCCCCAACTTTCGGATAACGACTGTATGTAAATCATTCTCGTCGACCCTCCCGCTTCGCAATTTTCCTGCACGTCTTTGCTCCATCGATAGTTTCATTCTATTTAGCATCTACGTTTTTGGCGTAAGCGGGCAACTGTGGACAAGCTTAAAGCCGATGCCAGACTCTGCGGATTGAGCGATTCGCTAGCGTCCGCGGTCGCGTTGCGGCACCAGCAAATAGAGCGATCCACTGACGCGACGCTATCGCGCGCTAGCGAGTCGCTCGGTTTGCGAAGTGGATATTGCCCTAACCAGGGAAGGCACTTTACTTCCCATGGAACTTTGAGGTGAGACCCAGATATGTCGATAGAGCTTCGAAGGCTTATTACAAATATGGAAACTAACTGCAAAATGAACATGCCAAGGAAGTTGTGAGCAGTCAAAGTTGGCCGGTGGTAAAGCATTACACTAGCCTCCAGGCTTTCGAAGTCCCCGTGGAGTAGTGGTAGTGCTCTTGGACTTTGCGCTCCGACGGGCGATGAGCTTATGACCTCCACAGTGAATAGCGAGGGCACCACCACTGCTCCGCGGCGATTCTGAAAGCCCGGAGGCTAGTGTCATGCTTTACTTCAGCCAACTTTCACTGCTCACAACTTCCTTGGCAGGTTCATTTTGCAGTTTTAGTTTCAATATTTGTAATCAGCGTTTGAAGCTCTATCAACATATCTGGGTCTCATCTCGAAGTTCCATGGGAAGTTGAATGCCTTTCCTGGTAAGTGTTGCCTCTCCTACACGTCCGACCGATCGATGCGATCACATCGATAGCATACAGCAACTTCGGATCACCATTAGAAGCACTGAACATGATCATCGATCCTTCGCGCATCTGTCGTCGGGAATGAATCTCTCAAGCAGACACTGGGACGGGCATCTATCCCATCCGCGCCATGCTAGGCCCGACCTCGTGACTCGGATGACCACGAGAGAGAAACGCTGTTACACAGCTCAAGTGCGCAGGATTACACCCCTTTCGAAACTTGAACTAGAATTGGCCTACCTTTTCGGTACGTGCCTCTTAGCCACTGTATCCAACACTCGTTAAAATGCTTCTTATGATAGTAGTGCAAGATACAAATAACGACAAACTTTGAAAACATGAAGTAGTAAATCAATATTGCCTGATAAACCAAACAATTGAATATGTGAACATTATGATACTATCAGAAGAGCTGAAGAGGAACGAGACCAAAGGAATGTTCAGTACAAAAGTGACATTTGCAAACGAAGTCTTCTAAACATCTGCTCTAGAGCGAGTAAAGCGTGATCATTTCGCGTGGATAGTCCCCTTCTGGGGTCTCCAAAATTAGAGGAATGCCATTCAGACGTTCATCATCCATAATACACTTGAAGCCACCCTTTCCAATACGCCCACGTCCGATATTTTCATGACGGTCCGCACGGCATCCAAGTCCGCCTAAATAGAAATGGTCAAGAAGGCGAAAAAAATTACGATTCAAAGCATCTCGCTTCATGAAGCACTCTGAGAGAGAGAGATTCGAGCATGGGTTCCAATACAGCAGCATTTTTTGTTCCAAGTTTTTGTTTCCACTTCTCCACAGGGCGTCAATTTACGTGTTCTTCACATTGACGACTGCTGTCTCGGCAAGCCTTTCGCAATATTTTAAACTGCAGTGTCCTATTTGCTGCACATCCCCTGGCAGCACTTGCGTGCGTTATGGTTCCACTTCTCATTAGGTGGATTTCCTCGTTCAGAGAGATGCTGCTTTATTTTCCCTACCTTACACCTCGCCTGTACCTCCCTAACACATCGTAGGATGACCTCACCCGCGTTGCTCCGATCCGCAAATGCGTTGCAGTTCCCCTTCTCATGTCAAGTCAACTCAGAAAATGCCATCTCTGATTTGTTCGTAATAAGCCTCAGACCAAGCCCAAGATCAATCAGAATCATAAGCATAAGCCAGTGTATAATCATGAGCTCACGTCCCAGCTCAAGCCCAAGCTGACCTTAGGTTCTTATAATCGTGCAACTCGGGTTACCTGTTCTAGGGGGAGAACTGAACGTCTCCACAGATCCGCTGAACTGGTCCGTGCGGTCAGCGAGAACAACATCCATTATCCTTCCTTAGAGGTCGCCCTTCTCCACTGGTGCTACACCCCACCACCGCCGGTATCTAGGCTCGATTCTCACCCGTGTCTTCTTTAGGGACCTATGGCACTGCCTGCGAGGAGGGGGCCTGTGCTGCAGAGCCAGATCCGCACCGAGGAGCATCTTGACGCCCTTCACAGTTCTGAGGGGTGTTTTTAACGAGCACATTGTCTATTTCCGTCTGTCTCCCTCTTGAGGTGGGTTGCCTTCTTCTCCCGTTTCGCGAAGAACATGCTGCGGACCGCTAGGCTGTGGGGGCCGTGATCAAATCCAAAAGACTTCCTCGGCGGTATTCACATCTATCCCTCTACCTCCGTGTATCCTTTCCAGGGCTTTTCTGACATTGTTGGAGCAAGAGCTCCAAAGTTTCGCGACAGTCGTGGGTGTTATGTGACAGCTGTGACGAGACCGTACCCAATTACAAAACACAACACACTTTCGTAACTAACCATTTATTTGCATCTATATACAAAATGATGAATTGGCAATGAGCCAATCAACATATAAAAGGTAGCTAGAATCTAATACAGTAGATTATTAGTTTAACCAAGCTAGGGGAACGGGGACTGTCCGCAATTCACCTGCCATCTTGTACATTGAACCATCTTCTCGCCGAGGATGTTCAATGGTACACTCCTTCTGAACACAGAAGGGCGACCATCGCGTGAGCCACGCTTAGGCCAACGTGCATCTGTAGTCGTCTGTACGAACTACTGCACAAGCCTTGCCAACGGGAAAAGATCCACTCCTTCATCTCTGGTGTGAAGAGAACGAAGCTCGCATCGGGCGACGCTTCGGAGTCAGGGGAGCCCGCTATCACGTAGAGTTAATCGCCTAATCGTACACAACGATCTCGGGAAACTCCCTTCTCGTTTTCCGAGAGAGACCGATCTGCTCACATCCCGTGAGCTCGGCAAAACTCCAGACTAACTGATCAGCTCGACCATAAGACGGACTGACAACAGATGGGGGCATGGCTTAGGTTTACGACCGTTTGAGAGAACCTCAAGTAATACCTAAGGTTACACCTAGGGGTACAAGTCTGCATGCACCTGCATACACTTTTACAACCTGCACGCGGCCCCATCTCAATCCGAGATAATTACTCACAAGTTATCTAAGCTTGGATGATCCAGTAAAACTGACTAAGGTTACCCATACACTACATCATTGCTGGCATGGCTACTCAGATAACCTGCCATGGTGAGACAGTCCTCTTCAGAGTGGACTTGAGGGCATCGCCAAGGCTAAAAATGAGATAGAACTCGCCTTCCTCATATCCAGGAAAGCCGACTATGAGTGTGTACACGGACAGTATCGGGCAGTCTCCCTCGTTCGTTGCATCCTTAGGCCCATGATCCGATCATCGATTCTGTTCACGGAAGATCTGCAACCTTGAGGGACTCCGATACCGCTATAACCACCCTAATTTGTTGGGCGTCGCCTCGTAGCAGTGTAGTTTGACACCTGCTATTTCCGGGTCTTGGTCCCTTTTATAATGTGTCTTTAAGAAAGAAAAACTATTATAAACAAAATAATAGATACGGTTCGTTTCGCTCGTTCCTCAGACGAACCTTATTATTTCGCTTATCCCCGGAGCTCATCAGTGAGTTGGGATTGGCGAAATAAAGACACAGGGGAAAGACGAATAAACCTTGATGTGACGTTCTATCATGCAGAGAAGCATGCAATGAAACGAATTGTATATTGACTAAATGAATGAGAAAATAAGTTGATTAAACATGTAAAACTATAAAGTGTGAAAGGCGGGTGTTTGTAATTGTTCCACTAACAAGATAGCACTCAATGACGAAGTATCTTCCACTAACTTACTAATATTATAATTATTAGCAATTGAAAATTTGTAACATATAAACTTATTTTTATAAATACATTTAACTATATTAGTTATAATAAATTTAGACAGAGAACTTGAACGTCTTGTGCTTTATCACATCAGCACTCTGCTAAGGCTTCCCTGCAAGTGGTGAGAGACCCAACTCGAACTACCTTTTTTAGTCGTTCACTTCGTAGACCTCGTTGCAGACCACAGGAGTTGGGCGAGGGTTCTGTGCGTCACTCCCGTGCACTAGCAATATCCCTGGTACTTTTGCAACTTTTATGTACTATCAATGTAAATGGGGTCTCCATAATGGGCCTGTCAAGCTAGGCCTGATGCTGGTATTGAGACCATTTTTACAATTTTTGTGGGACATTGTTATGCTCCGACATGGATCGGACCCGCGGCTCTCAAGGGTCCAGCCATGAGCTTGTACTCCATACCACTAAGCTATCCCTGCCTTGGATTAATCGTGCGAGTTTCCTATGGAGGTAGTGCAGAAGGTTTTTATCGTCTCGAATAGTTGATTCACTCGTCCCTTTCCATAAATCCGACCGAAAATTGCGCAATAGCTATTTAATAGCCTATTAGCACTGAACAGAAATGAAAGCACTAGGCGCTGATCAGTCCCGTTAATGAGAGTGCAATACAAGCGACACCCATTCTGAATTGTGGAAGCACCATGAGGGGACTAATATAAAGGCTTGTCAAACATTTGTGAAACCAATGGTACTAACAATAAGACCATACGGTAGCCCTGCGCCCAATTCCAATGGTTAATGATTTCGATCAAGTTGTTGAAGCACGCACTGTATGATACACTTCCACCTCCCATTCCGCTCCCACTCGAGGCGAAAAGGTAAACAAAAAATAAAAGTTTGTCAAAATTTATCCAACTTTTGTGAGAAAATCTCCCCTTTCCCCAGTCCCACAGAAGGACGACGTCAGTTTGCCTTATACGGCTCTCTCGTGTGACTCGGCCAGGCGGACCCTTCGCCCAGCAACCTGTTATGCCGTTCGGAGACCTACATCAAAGCCTTCGAGGTGAGAAAATGAGCCGAGTGACCTATGGCACCAGACCGAAGTTTGCACTACGGACACAGAACGCTAAGTAGCAATAGGATTTGCGTACCTATGAAGTCCTCTATCGAGCGCTTGTACTAGCGCTTTTTCTTTACTTCTAGCATTCTTTTTGTTCACATGTTTGTGGCAATAAGAAGAAAAAGAGAAATAATCAAACCAAAAATTGCACACGGCTCAGAATAACCTTCCTAAAAAACGCATATGTGGACTTTCGGTGAATCCTGTCATTAATGCTAACGTATTAGTCCCTATTTCACTCGTTGATATCAGAAATACCCCAAAATAGCGTTATAAGCGACAGGTAAGTGATTATTAGCTGGCAGCCCCTATGGGCTGCCACTGTCCCACAAGTGCACTTCCGTGGCAGAACACATGGGCCGCCGCTGGAGCGAATATGTAAAATAAGACCGAATCTCAAACCTTTCGAGTCGTTGAGATGAAACGCCTTCAAATATTTGAATCCAATGACATCATCAAACTTCTTAGTGTTTTCTCATAAGCTTCCGGAGTTCGTATATCATAGCCTGCCAGAACATCCCTTCATTCTCCATGAAAACCTTCTCAAATGGAGAACGAAAAAAAATAGCACTCACCTGCTGCAAATATGTGGCAGGTGTCGATGCAGACGCCGACACGCTCCTTATTTTTCACCTACAAACTTATAAATAAAGTACAATAAGTTAAGTGAGACGCAAACCCAATGACATAACGGGAATGCTCTTGCCGGTGAAAATCCAGTTCGGATAGAGGGGAGGGGGAGGGGCACCCTCACTGTATTATCGCTAGTCCTAGAGTGCACTCCTTTGAGCTCACCAATACTAAGGATAAGATAATATGAACAACTTGAGGAAGATGACAGATTCTAGCTGCACCGGTATATAGAGGGTGATAGGCAGGACGATAGAAAAATGCTGTAGAAAAGATTAGACTCGGATACTTCGCCCACCTATCCCCTTCCTCCCGCTAGTTTATTTCAATTAATTAGAGTTACTGAGTTACTAATTGCTGTTAACTAGTCAACAGTTCACCTCACCATTGATATGATGTCACGAATCTGTTCAAATGTCGATCCGATAGTATGACCCTGAGCTGCCATCGTCTCTATTACTAAATATGAGTGAGCATTAAAGACAATAGAAGACACTACAAAATGGGTAAATCATTAATTTACCCATGACGATGAAGTCAGTATTGTCAACAATGTAGTCGATAGTTTCAGCAACTAATTTGAGACACTGCTCTACTGTACCCGTTCCTGTGGTGGAACCTTAACAATGAAGCATTGACGTTAGAAATAAAATAAAGTACGTAGATCGTAATATGTAAGTTCTTTCAACCTGGATGAAAATTATACAACCCGATTCCTAGACGTTCACAGCGTTTGCACTCATCGAGCATGGCCGCTCGGCTTTTTTCCAATTTCTCGGGATCAGGAGATCCAGGATTCATCAAATAAGAACCATGTGGAAGAACTTGAGAGAGCGGGAAGCCGGTTTCCTGCAAAAGCACTTGTTGTCGCCGATCTCAAAATGAGACGTAACTTTGCAAACCAGACACGGAAGTGGATGTGGATTGCCACAACAGAAAGCGAGCTTTTCGCTTCTCGCAGTGCGAAACTTTTCCGCTTCAGTAACCCCATGTCCCACTTTGGTCATAGGTGGACCAAGAATTTCCGAGGCGGGACCGTTACGTGTTGCGAAAAGCAAAAAACTCGCTTTGTTTCCTGCTAACCACACTCGAGGTGCACAACTGCTCGTCCCAGCAAATGTCTGCCCCCTCTGCCAGAATGGATATCTCCACAGAGTTCTTCGTGTAAACCAATAACTTAAAATATGATAACAAAATAATGAAACATCTTATTCGCAAGCCTGTTTCGTCAGCACTTTTCACTAAGCTTCCACTTTTCAGATGCCTTCTGGGAACGACAGCTCCTAGGCTTCACGGGTGTTCGCTGGAACTCTGTCCCAGGCATCCAGCTGGCTGAAGGTGGCTAAAAAGGCAACCTAGCGGATCTGAACTCCTTTCGAGTCCGTTGGCTGCAGGAGAGCGCAGTCCGAGATTAACAGCCTTATTGATGAGTAACCAACTACTAACAACCACTCCTTGACAGCGAGACAGTAAACCGGGTACGGAGAGATCTCTCAAGTAGCTCTGTAAGGAAGTTTTTGCTAGTTTCGAGGTATGTAGTTACCTCAACGGCACGATTCCATCGTTCAACAGTGGCTTCATCCATAGGTTTTGCATTCCACTGACGTTGATTACGCACGAACATGGCCAGGGAACGATTACCCTCAGCACATGCATTGTAGATCGCCTGCTCCAATCCGCCTAGGAGATTTCATATAATCTGTGTGCACAACGATTGAGTAATGCCTCTTCTAATAAAGGTGTTGCCATAATGCATCTAACCAAAATGCCGAAACCAGCACATTCTGACTGGGGAAATTCCTATTGGCAAAGGAGCTTCAAATCGGGAAATCCAAAAAACAGTCCAAATGGATATTCAAAGAGCTCAACACTATCCATATTAGAAGCATTCGCAAGCGAAGAGCGGAGAAAAAAAAAGACGGTGACGCTAAGACTATATACTACAAATACAAGTAGACACTACGGTCTTCTGATCTACTGCAGTACTTAGTTTTCTCATCCACAGATGAATAGCATGAATATTTACATAGCCTGGAAGACACTCACCTGCAGCGCTAACATGAGAACCCAAGCACTTCTTGCTCTTTGTCCCCGCTTGAAGAACCTACAAATAAGACGGATCACTAGAAGAAGCGCATGATCAGACAACAGCTTCACCAAGGAAAATGAACAAGGCACTTCGGAGCAAACTACGGCTATAACCAACCTTGGCACCGACTGTGAGACGCGACTGACGTTGAGTATCGCTTTCCCCACTAGCCGGCGCTTTTGAGCGCGTTTTGCGTTCTTTAATATTGAATTATCAGTAAATACCAGACATAAGAACAACAAAAGGATGGGCAAAGGAAGTAATGGGGGAAACATCCGACTTCAGCCGTAAAGAACCGTACGTATGCTATCAACTGTGTCGAAGGGGTCGCGCCATGTTGGGCTAACGTCACGGCATGGACTAGTCGTATTTGGCTTTCTGGATCGTACTGCGCGTAGTTGACAGTGTATTTCAGAGAGCGGGAGTTGTGGAAGGCGGGAGGTGAGGGGGGAGGCGGGTGATGAGGTTTTTACGAAACTTAGCAGTTCTGAAGATTTTAACGGAGACGGATTTGTTCTGTTTTCATTGCACTATGTAATACTTCCTCCCCCCCTTCTCTATCCCTCTGACGGACACACAGGGAACGGGCAGAAACGTCATTCCCTCGTCACATTTTATGCGGAATTCATTACACGTTGGTTAATTCAAATCGAACGCTCCCAACTGGAAAAACGCATTCAAATCTATCAGAAAAATTCATAATAACTTTCTACACCGATGACATCCGAAGAATTTGCCACGAGAGCATGGTGCGCGGTTCGAGCTCAATGAGGAGCTCGACGCGTCCTACCAAGTCGTCTGAAACGCTGGGCGAAAGTGGACTCCAGTCAGAGCTACCGTCTGAAGTAAGTTATCCATCAGTCATTCAATCGAAACTGTAGCAGCTTCAGGCCGACAGCGAATAAGGTAAGCTTTCTTAAGCTTGTTGGCGATGATAGATGAGCCGCAAGCTCATGCTGAACAGGGAAGGAAGGCCTGCTGCTTATAGGGGATATCTGAGAAATATTTCACCACAAAACTTCCATCAACGTCGACACCTGTGCAACGAAAAGTTTGCTGATGTTGCTATGGAGAGAGGACTTTTTGCGCCCATCTCTTCCCTGTAATTTTTGGGAAAGGTTAGGTGTTTAACGGTTTCAGAGAAGAATGAAAGAAGGAGCAAGACTTGGAGGCGGAGATGAGTAGAGCACAGAGAGATCGTCCCCCACTGCCTTTGCAGTAATATGTATAGTACAACCAAGATGGGCCCGGGTCCAAGTACGAATTGGTCGATGCTCTAACCATAACAATTATTTTCTGATGCTACTCGCACTACATGCGGCTACGAAAGAGAAAATAACTCACAACTGATAGAAGCAAGATATGAAGTAGCTGCTTTATGATGTATGTACAACAAAAAAACAAACGCAACTACTATTCAGGTGGGCATATTTTATTCTGAAACCAACCCGCTTTCTTCTTCTCGTCTTTCCGATCGTGCTCCGCCTTGTCTTCTTCCATCTCGGACTTATCTGTGGCCCCGGACATGAGAGATTTCACTGCAAAATCTTTTTCGTAGTGAATAACTATGAAGTGTTACTATGACTATGGATCCCTTCATGGGTCTCATCCGGTGGGGGCATGGCTGCTCCCTATTACAGAAATTCAAATTCTGTAGAGGAAGATCCCCAGGTGCGTAAACCATTTCGCTATCGCTTTTACATCCACTCTGGAGCTACCTCTTAATGCGAGAAATTGGGCCACTTTAACCGGTACAAACTGTCGCACCGCAAGTCCACACTACCGGATAAGCTCTTCATCATCACGGATTCTTCAAAAGCGACTCACCAGACAAATCCAGAGAGGCGTCAACGTGATCTAATTCTCTCTTCATTTTATGAGGAACGATGTTCTCCTTCGCGGACTGCACTGTCTTGGTGGAAACACCTAAGATATGAAAGGTCTATTTAATGAAAGATGATTTTGAAAAGCGCTGCATGGAAGCAGAAGCCTTGACACAATCATCGACATGATTTCAATTTCATTACAATTATGTTCAGTGGTTTCGCCATAAAAGGGAAGTGCGAAGTGCTTTTTTGCTCATGTCGGACACTGCAAAACATTCCTCCGAAACCCCTTCAACACACTGACGACAACGCGGGGGATATATATCCCGCGCATTGCAGGCCATGTCGGACCGTGCGGGAGATACAGGGATGGCCAAAAAAAGAGACACTTTGCTCATGGCGAACATCATCGAACTTTTCGTCGCACAGGCAGACGATGTTAGTGAACGTTACGGCGGAATATTCCTTAGATGTTTCCCCGTGATCAGAAGCAATCCGTCCCTCCTTGCCCCCGCCGTCTTCAGAATACAACGTCATCTGCCGCCACCGTCAAGCTCAACGAGGCTTACTGTAATCGCTTCGGCCTGAAGCTGCTACATAATTTCTTCAACGGATTAAATGTTGAACAACTTCCCAAAAACATCAGCTGTGACTATGCAAAACCGTTTTTGACCAGTGTTTCAGGGACGTTGGAATGGCCTATGGTACCTCGACGACCTCCTTGAGCTCGTACCGTGAACCATGCTTCCGTGGGAAAATCTTCTGACGTCGTCGGGTTTACAAGGCTGTCATGAAACTGTTAGATAGATTAGAATGTGCTCTTCAAGACTGAGTTGGAGGCAGTCGATTTGGTTTTGGAAAAGTGTGATTAATGCTGTCTGAAATGTGGAGTGAAGTGTCTCTTTTTTTGGCCACCCCTGTATATCCCCGCAGCCATTGCAATCATTTTTTTCGCGCACGCCTGATTCTTTTAGAAGTTTCTTGTATTCAGGAAGAACCTTGACGTAGCTACAAACATAGGGGCCCTTAGAATGGTCACGTATTCTTTAATTTAGAGGAGGATTTCTGAAGAATACGAAATTGTAATTTCAAAAAATTTTTTGTTTACTTTTTCTTTTTGTATGTGAAGATTTAAATAGTAGCAGAAGTAGATACGGAACCTTGAGGGTGACAATATGTGTGTTTTTATTGGAATAATCAACGTAAAATTGCTTTTGAGGTTCATCGCACCTAGTTCTGACCAATTTCGCTATTTCATTGTTACTTTATGTCTTTCGATCGAAATTCCACTACTATACGCCTGGTTAGGTTGCGCTCATTACAATTTACTGATATGGTTTTGAATTGATCATTAGATGTGTATTTATCACTCAAAATCTGCTTGAACGACCTCAGGCAAGCGTGCCCGCAAAATCGCCGCGGTCCCACGTGGCCAAAAAAGCCAAAATTCGCGTTGTCGTCAATGTGTTGAGCAGCGAGCGCGTGTCTATTTTCCTCATCCTCTTTAAAATATGAAGCTATGCGCTAACGCCGATGAGTTCAGAGAGGCCTGATCTCATTACCATCTGAAGCAGCTGCTACTTCCTCGACAGGCTGATCGAGGAAGTAGCAGAGGCTTCAGATGGCGTCATAGTTTGCGGTCAGGTTTGCGACCTTCAGGGCATAGTTTGCGAACCGAGCGAATCGCAAACTGTGATATCGGCCACAGACGGGCAGCTTTCAGAGGCCTTGGTTCCGATTTTATGGGATCCTTGCAAGCCTTCAGATCAGAAAGTCTGTTCTTGGAGGTCTCAGCAGGATCGATTTCTGGGGTGGGTTGATGACTTTCGGGATAGGAGGACTCTTTTGCTATGGAGCTTGCTTCGAAAATAAGCACTAATTATCAGGATGGTAAGAATGTCCTGAGCCGTTTGACACTTATTTGTGCTTTACTTTTTTATTCCGCGTACAATGGAATCTACTCAACCATATTATCACCATTGTTACTCACTACAGAGTCCCACCTAACGGGCCGGTCAGCGACCCCCTTCTCCCAGAACTGAGCAGACTGAGAGTCAAAGAAAGCCCTGACCGCTCCTTCATCGTCTTCAACTTTGGTGAATTTTTTCTTCGTAAAGAATACCTTAAGGGAGTGAAATAAATGATAATCAGAGAGGGCAATGTCAGGAGGATAGGGTGGGACCGCGGGGTGAACCGCGTCCCAGATCAGCTCTTCTAATTTTGCACGGGTCTCTTTAGCTATGTGGGGCCTGTCGTCATCGTGGAGTAGGTGGACAGAAATTCGTCTCGGTCGTTTTTTCCGAACAGCGTCCGCTAGTTTCTGGAACTGACTGGCGTAAATGATGCCGGTAGCTTTATTTTATTGCGGGAGCACCTCATAATAAAACATTCCTAACGAATCCCTGAGGTCGCAAAGAAGGCAGTTTTTGGGTGAAGCTCCGATTTTGCTTGTGTCGGCGGGTCTTCTCCTCGACGCAGCCACACGGCACTGTGCTTGTTAGAATCGTAGAGAACTCAACTCTCACCCCTCGTAATCATGCCTTCCAAAAACTCCTTTCGGTGCGGACAAAGGAGAAACTGGCAAACGGGTACCCGCCTGAACCGCGTGCTATTAGACAAGACATGAGGGATCTATCGAGTCGGCACTTTCCTGTGGCGAGGGCGCGGAGGCAGGGTCAACCGTCACGTTCGAACATTTTCGGGATTTTTGCGACCCCCTATCTCTCGAGGGGTCCAGTTGCGACCCCCTGTTTTTGTTAATAAGAGTGCTAGACATGAATCCGTTGCGCCAGAAGGCGTCTGCGCGTCGTCGCGTCGGCCTTGGAGCGCGGTAGGTATCACCCAGGCGCTGGAAGACGGGACGCGGCGAAGAAAAAATTTTAGAGGGGAATAACTTACTTGGGACGTACTTTTTTGACTTGTTGAGGTAGATTTTGATTGTGCCTGAGGTGCGCTTCCAGAAAGCTACAAGGATTGCCTAACTCTGTGGAAAGTACTTCTGTTAGAAGCGGAAAACCCAAAATTCTAAGAAGGCGCACCTTCAACTTTGAAAGCCCATAAAATCTTTCGTATGCGACATTTTGGAAATCTGTAAAAAGTTTTAGAAACTCAAATATTTCTCTAACAAAATAGTATAAAAAGTTTAGTGCTTGTCCCGTTTTTCAAAAAACCGTCCCGTTCGAACATTTTTCGTGCAAAAGCGAGTTCTTGGGTTTTCGGCGACCATAACTCACTTCATTTTCATTTCTGCGATGCATTCTTTTCATGGGGTGAAAGTACAGGATTTGCTCTTTCTAACAAGCCCCAAACCATTTTTCAAAGTTCATTTCTCGAGAAAATCACACGTTCGAACATTTTGGGAGGTTTTGCCGAACACTTTTTTTGAAATAGCGAGTTTTTGGACGGGCATAACTCACTTCATTTTCATTTCTGAGATGCACTTTTTTCATGGGGTGAAAGTACAGGAATTGCTCTTTCTGACGAGCACCAAACCGTTTTTCAAAATACATTTTCCGAGAAAATCGCACTTTCGAAAATTTGGTTCCCATAGGTTTTTGAGCAGCACATGCGAGTTTTTGAGCTTTCAGCAATAAGAACTTCCTCCAAAGAACTTGTTGGGGAGGGTCAAAGACATTTTGGAAGACCACGAGATTTCTGCTTTCTTACGTGTTTACCCGTTGTCTGGACGAATCGTCCTCAGAAAATTAGGTCCCGAAGAACTGTAATTTCAGCCCCGAGAAAAGATCAAACCTTTCATGGGGATGCATTCAACAGTTCTTTATTCCTCAAGGAAAACACCGTAATCTGCCAAGACTGTCTCTCTGTGCGTAATTAA